TGGAGTGAAACCCAGCTTATCAAAAGCATTCATCTTTGTTCAGCTTTGCCTATTTTATGGGAAATCAATTTTTTATTAGAGAGAAGCACTCCCAATAAGAACCAGATGAAAGAAATGCAGGACAAAGCAGCTTGCACATAATCCCGAGGTAGCCAGGGATGCTCACTGGGGCTGGCAGTGTCAGGGCCCGAGTCTCCCTAACTTTAGGAAAAAACATAATCTTTTATATATTAGTTCAACAGATTGGCTTTCGGATTCCCTCCTCTCCTTTTTGGCACCGGTTGGTAAAACAAAAATAAGTTATTCTTAGAGATTGACTTTTGAAATTTAATTTTAAAATTAGTGTTACTAAAAGAACTAAATGCACAAACACTTTCCAAAACTTACGGGAAAAAAAAAAGAACTCTTCAATTATTACCATCCACAGAGCCAAAAACTCTGTGGATTGTCTCCTTGATGTCATTAACATTCTGATATGCTTTCTGATCTCACTAATTCTAGTAAATATAATCATTTCCTTCCATTCCTACAATAGTCTAAATTAATTTAAATGAAGTCAGTATATTAAGCAGAAGTCTTTAGAGAAACCTCATTGAATCAATAAGCATTATGTGTAATTAATACAGTTTATAAATAGGTGATGATTGTTAAGTTACTTGTTTTTTTCTTAAATCATTCTCCCTATGGTCCTTAATTTTTTTTTTTAATGGTAAAAGAATTTCCAAAGCTAATTAATTAAATAAAGAAGAGATAAACTAAGGCCCCCTCTATATGAGTTAACATGATTTCACTGAATTCCCAAAGCACACTGATTATTTTTATATTTTTCCCATTATTTCGAAGATGAAATAATGAACATGGTCTCCACCATGTAGGTATGTGCACAAACACAACATATTTACTGAAAAGTCAAAACAGGCACACCTACTGCTTAAAAGGGAATTGGTTCATTTTGCAAATTTCCATGAAGCCTTTGGGTAGACTCTTTACAGATATATATGAAATTGAAATGTTAATTTATGCCAGACAGTTAAATGAAAGATGAAGGTACAACAAGTAGTCTCATCTCATCTCAAAGGGCTAATATTTTGGTGGCCAATGAGAGATGTAAAACAACTGGCAAGCAAGCAACTATTAAAAAATCTGTAAGCCAGGAGCCAAGGCTGTAAAGGAGCCTACATGGAAACATCTCATTAAAACGATATGGATGGAAGAAATTCAAACACTACACACTTAAATTTAAAATCACCTTCAATACAAGTCAAAGGGTCAACATGATACAAATGATCATCCATAGAATCAATGTTTCTAAATACAAAGACGAGAAGCTTAGATTTATCTCACTGTTCCATAGAACTTATACATTCATTGTCTTCTAGCTTGTAAAAACCAATTGTTGGTATAATAAAACTGGAAACTGGGAAGATTGAGCAAGACTGCTGTATAGAATCCAATCCCAAGTTGTCTGCCCAAGGATAGATTCAGTTTTTCTCTAGCGTTTGATAAGTCAGGTTGATCTTAAAGGTAGTAGTTGGAAACTTTTTCAAGGCAGTGGTTCTCAAAGCATAGTTCTCAAAACAGCAGTATTGGCCTCACCTATAAACTTGTTAGAAATGCAAATTTCCTGATGTACTTAACTGGAAACTCTGAGCATGAGCCCAGCAATCTGTGTCTTAACAGGCCCTCCAGGTGATACTGATGTGTACTAAAGTTTGAGAACCACTGTTCTAAAGACAAAAGATATGGGACAACCACTGGTTAAACCTTCAGGACAGGAATTAACAGTAGAAACAGTTTTTGGTGGTTGAAAAGGGTGGAAGGACCATAATTAGATGGAATTCACCAGCAGTGGAGTGCCATTTTGTCACCAAAGTGGTCAACCACTCTCTCCTCCCTGGTACCCCTTTGTAGTATTGTACAAAGATACAGAGAAAAGGTTTTGTATGGTGCTCGTGGTGTGGTAGTGGTTTCTCTTCAATGATGGAGTGGTACCACAATTTATAAAGAAACTGATGATCTCAGGAGATATTTTTGGTCTGTATTCCCTGAAATAAGAATTGTGTTTTGGAAATCTAAAGGGTGTTCTGTTCCAAAATCTTAAGTTATTATTTCCACATCAAATAGCAAACACTACAATATAGCCAGAGAAAGAGGATCTTCCAAACAAACAAAAAAGGTATGTTTTCTAGATTGCTCCACTACTAAATGAGAACTTTTTTTTGAGGAGGCGTAATTATAAATCAAGGTCTTGACCAATTTTACAAATCTTTCCCAGTAACAAGCTCGTATTTCCAATAAAAAGTGCTCTTTTGCTTTCCTAAGGCCACACTAAATCTCCCTGGGGTCACCTAAGTGGTGCCCAAGCATATTGAAGTCTTGTCATCTGCTTACTGCAAGACTCTGGATTTTCCTTCTGCCTGTTTCTTTGTCTGTAAAACAAGTGGAAATGTGTAGATGTTATGGCACATGGTTACTAAGGATGTCGACCTGATGCCCTTAGCACCTGGTTCTTCAAGCAATCTTGTCCAACCAGCTGCTTCCTCTTCAGAGAATGTACATTTTGAAAAATGGTTATCCATTATTTTGCATATTCCCAAACTTTGTGCTACAAATTTAGTACCATGTATTTCCCAGAGAAGCAAGTAAAGAGGCACTGTTGGCTACAGGGCACTTTATTCTGAGTTGATTAAATGATATTTGAAAAAGGTTTACAAATCGTGCATGCCATTCTAGACACAGGCTGCCATGTACTTCTGTGTTAACAGCTGGCCATGAACAGTATTATTCCATCATTTCTGCCTAATTCAGTGAGTTTTCTAAAGTAACACTGAATATCTGCTTGAAGATTAAAGTTTAGATTTTGGCTTTATTTTCAAACACTTGAAATGTGTTACATATGATTTTTTAATGTATAAACACGATTCATTTTCTTTTTCAACTTTATTTTTAAAAACCTTCGTAACATCCCAGACAGATCTGAGATGTAAAATAGTCTCATTTTAATGGCCTCATTCCTTGAAACTTTTTCTCATACTAGAGTGCTTACTCTGTGGACTTACAGCATGTTGTCAGAGAGAGTATGGCCTTTGAATTCAGAAACACCTCTTTTGCAACCAACTTTGCCTTTTGCTTGTTATCTTGGGCAAGTTTCTGAACCTCTCTGGGTCTGTGTTCTCATCTGAAAAAATGAGGAACACAATACTTGTCTCACAAGGTTGTTGTGAGGACTACGTGTGATAATACAGGTAAAGGTTTGCAATCACAGTGACATTCACCACTCTCTTTCTCCCTGCTATTTGTAACCTCTTGTTATTACTATCAGCTCTACACAAAGGTCTTCATTCTGTTTAGTTTGATGGGACTGATACTGATGGATTTTCCTTTCTGAGAAAGAAAACTTTCCTGTATAAGCAGTATTGTGATGAATCTGGTAAAATCAAGGATATCTATTACATAACTGCATTACCTTCTCACAGCCAAGGCTATTTTAAAACAACAAGGACGAAAAGCCGAATGATCATTGTACCAATATGTTTCAATTTCAAGGAACTTTTGAATTATATCAACATTTTTGTCATGTTTGATTTAAAATTTTTATTTTTATTTACTTTTTTGAGAAGAAGTCTCACTTTGTCACCCAGGCTGGAGTGCAATCTTGGTTCACTGCAACCCCCACCTCCCAGGTTCAAGCAATTCTCCTGCCTCAGCCTCCCAAGTAGCTGGGATTACAGGTGGCTGCCACCATGCCCGGCTAATTTTGTATTTTTAGTAGAGACAGGGTTTCACCATGTTGGCCAGGTCTCAAACTCCTGACCTCAAGAGATCTACCTGCCTCAGCCTCCCAAAGTGCTGGGATTACAGGCATGAGCCACCATGCCTGATTTAAAGTATTTTAATGAGAGCTGTTAAGTATGTTAGCATCTGTCTGGGTTCTTATTGGTCAGTCATTACATAGACCCCAAATAATAAAGGTGTTCTAGTTTTATATCTATGGTAAGGGCTGGAAAATTATCATAAGAGGAGAGAAGATGGTGTAAAAAGGCAGTCTATTTTTAAAATATGATCAGGAGACACAAGAGCTAGGTGAGATGCTATGGACAGTGCATGAGGTTCAATTGTGAAAACCAATGTCCTCATTAATGACAGAGAGAACTCTGTCCCTCCATACACTTGGCTGGGCCATCATCAGTCCCGAGTCTCTTATACTTGGAGTTTTCCAGATGTTTGTTTCATGAAGCACACTTTACCAAAATTTAGGAAAAGAAGAGAAACATCTCAACTTTAGGGTAATAAAGTTTTGGCTATAAATACAGGCAACTAAAAACAATGTATAAACTTTCATTCTGCTTAGGTCTGTAAATACATGCTAATAACTGTTCTTCACTTTAAAAGGCTGCTTTGAATTTTGTCTTACTGTTGCTGCAAAAGAGACTGTGAGGAGAGAAACACCTGACACTTTCAGAGACTGGGAGGGAGTGAAACAAGTTTGGGAGTGGGCAGCTGAGTCACAGGAACAGGGCAAGAGACTGAGCTGGGCAGTCTGGGAAAGTGCCACTCCCCTCTCAGTGTTCTTCATCTCCTCCCTTGCTTCTCCACCTGCTGGGAAGAATCACCTGAAGGCCTACTTATTAGAGACTACTTTGCATCAAGCTGCAAATACCTCTGAGAAGTACTGCTGTCACTCAGTGATGTTTCTGGTTGAAATCTGATGTCAGTGTGGATGTCCGGTAACTCGAGTGCAGAGTATGTCAGGACTGGGTTATAGAGAAGACAATGGGAAGGTACCAAAACACTCTTAAAAATTATAGGTCAAGAGCTCTGTACACCTTCTCATCCTTTTATTCTTGGGACCCATATTCAGGCTAGAACTAGAACAGTGTTCGGACACAGTATAGGGTAAACTTATGTTCAAGAATTTTGGATCCCATAATAGAGCATCAGGGAGAATGCTGATTTCCAAATAACTAACATACTTTGGGACACAGTATTCACAATTATCATTTTTTTAGATGGAGTTTCGCTCTTGTCGCCCAGGCTGGAGTGCAATGGCACAATCTCGGCTCACTGCAACCTCCGCCTCCTGGGTTCAAGCGATTCTCCTGTCTCAGCCTCCTGAGTAGCTGGGATTACAGGTGCATGCTACCACACCTAGCTAATTTTTGCATATTTGGTAGAGATGGGGTTTCACCATGTTGTCCAGGCTGGTCTCAAACTCCTGACCGCATGTGATCCGCCCACCTCGGCCTCCCAGAGTGTTGGGATTACAGGCGTGAGCCACTGCGCCCAGCCGGTATTCACAAATTGAGACAGCTTCCTTTGAATTTTTCCACTTTATGAAAAGTTGCTATGTATAAATACTGTAATTCTGGCCTCTGCTTTACTGAAGCCTTTTCCCCCAGTAAACTGTGGAGTACTCACAGGTTCACAAAGAAGAACTGAACCTCAGGTAAGCTATAAAAAGAAACAAAACAACTGTGGTGTTACTTCTGTTGGAAAATAAAAAAAAAAAAAGCAGTTATCCAACTTTCAATTCCATTTATAAAGTATAAAAATTCAAAAGTATACAACATAGTTCACTGATATCCCAACAATTCATTGCCTTTTAAGATCAAATAGCTGATTACCTGTTTCTAAACTTGAATTATTGTCTAGTGAGTGAAAAATGAAGGCAAACAGAGTGTTCTGTGGAACTGGGAAAAAAATGGATTCTGTGGTGATCTCTAGATGGCACACAGAATGATAAGGGTCTTTCTTTCAGATCACCTGAAGAAGTCACAACACTGCCTTCCTCTTAACCTCTAAGTTAGTTCCATGTTTCTCAAGGAGGGCAAAGTTGGCAAATACCCTTTTAAATCCGTGTTTCAAGACTGCAGAATTTGTCTTTTATTTAAAGGGTGACTTATTCATTATGAATAGAGCTGAGAAATTATAATGTATGCCTTCACAACTAACTCTGCTCTGTAGAATGTGTGTAAGTAAGCTTGATTGAGGAGTTTTCAATCATTAGGATAATGTAGAAATACTGTAAATAATAAGATAAAGCTTTCAGTACTTAGAAATATCCACCTGAAATATTGGTCTGAATGAAAAGACATCAAACGTAGGGTAACTTTACTTGCTAGATAGGAGAAATATTTTAAATAGACAAAATTTTCTAAATTTCAGTGTCTTTCTCCATTGCCTTCATTTTATGAGACTTGCGCTTGTGTAACTGACACCATAATTTTGCAAGATTGTTGTGTTATATTTTAAGATTGAAAATGAGTTCATCATAATCCATCCCTACCCCACACTCCCTGCTCCCTTCCTGAGTCCCTTTCCTCCAAGCGTGTTGATATAAAATGAGTTGTGTTTTACTGTTTTGTTGTCTTAAAAACCAAACGTTATACCTTACGTTCAGATAATTGTGGGGCATGGAAATGTAAGTGCAACAAAAGACTAAGGCACCATTTTTTCTTTCCTTTCCTTGTTTGCCTTGGGGACGGAAGCAAACACCACGAGAACAGCCAGGGTGGCTGGTTGGTCTCATGTCTGTCTCTCGACGATCTATGTATCAGCCACTTTCACTGGGTACTCTGTGTCACAGGCTGACAAGCCACAGACTTCAAACCCTGCTAGGAAAGGACTTTCTTCTTTTAGACATACAGAAATCATACAGAAATAAAGGCACAACAGTACCTTATATGGGGAAATTGGTGAATAGCTAAAAATCTTATTTAGGAATAATTTTGAAGTGTTCTGGATTATTTTACAACAGAAGTCACCTCTTTCTTGATTATGACACCCAAGAATATGTTTTTATAGTTGTCTTCTTCCCAGCCAAACCCATAATCATAAATCTTCCTCCAGTTAATAATCCCTGGTACTAGATGTCTGAGTGTTTACATATCAGCTTGATTTACCAGCAGATATTGCCTTAGGAATTATATTTATTTTTAAGATGATAGATCAATATAGTGTTTTCAAATGAGTAACCCTTGAAAATGACCCATTTGGGGACAATGCTGTAAGCAAAAGCACTGGGAAATATACTTCAAGAGTTAGAAACATATCAAGGATTATAGATTCTTCTATAATAATGTGCAAAATCAGAATATCGTTTGTGTCATCTAGATACAAACCTTAGCATGGCCCCAATGCTGATCAGTGGTTGGAAAGGCTTTTTACATTAGGAAACATTGTTCTCTGAGACACTAGTTTAAGTGGGGCTGGTGGTGGGGAAAACGCAACAGTTGGATTGGCAGGCAGACTCTAACCCTCACTACTGCTGTTTGGTGGCGGAGTGGAATAGGAGTCTGCTACACAATGATGTCTACACAATGATGTCATAGACACGGCCCACCCTGCCCAGCCACTCCCTCACAGCCTGGCGAACTCTGATGTCAGTCACGTGACAGGTCAGCTGACTGATGCACGGGAACACTGCGGGCTGGAGGGCCGTAAAGGTCTGGTCTGGGAGAATCTGAATCTGATTGAGAACTGTTAGCACCATGTTGGTCCATGCCTAAGAGAAAGGATTTAAGAAAATTAGTGGCTTTCCCCCCTGGTTTTATTTGAACACTTGAGAGCGGCCCTGCCAATGTGGAAATGGGTTTTTTTTTTCAGGCTGTAGTTGCAATAAATTAGTTTTTGTTCATTTAATATGCCTATAATAAATTGTAGGCATATTAATTTATTATGCCTACATCATAATTTCACATCCATAAAGATGGGCAGAGATTTGCCTTATTTTCAGCTTTCACAAACTACTAAACTCTTACTCCTTAGATTAGAAAAAACAAAAGCAAAAATAAAAAACCTCCCTTGCCTTCTCACAATGAGATCTCCACAGGCCATTCATCTCAAACTCATTTTTTGATGCACCATAGAATTACACTCTAAGCCCCCCTGAAGATTGAGAATTTTTATGTGCACAGGATGGGCTAGAAAAAGTTGAGATGAAAACAATTTGAAAAAAATTAATTGGCATAACCACACAATATTTGCTTTTTTCGTTTGTATAATGCTTCATAACTACAGAATTTCTTCAGTGCCATTTTTGAATGACACACTAAGAACTCGATGCCAGTTAAAGCTTACTTTTTTTAAGACAGGGTTTCCCTATGTCATCCAAACTGGTGTGCACTGGCACCATCTCAGCTCACTGCAACCTCTGCCTCCTGGGATCACGCAATCCTCCTGGCTCAGCCTCCCAAGTAGCTGGGATTACGGGCATGTGCCACCTTTCCCAGCTAAGTTTTGTATTTCTTTTTTTGTAGAGATGGGTTTTGCCTTGTTGTCCAGGCTGGTCTTGAAAAAGCTTACATTTTATAAGCTTTAGCCTCATCTTATTTATACAGCTAAGTTCCTAATTTTCAATAATACACATTACAATGGAGAAAAACAGTTCCTGAAATTACCTGAGAGTAAAATTCCAGCTTCATAATGATATACTGATACTGGGAAATCCTGCACTTAGGCTCGGGCAGTCCTCTGAGTTTGGAGGGAAATTGGTTCGTACTCCCTACCTGTTTCTATAAATCTTAGCCTGTGTGCGCCCGCTCTGCAAAGGGGGCCCATCCAGTACTGGAAACCCAGCTTCCCGCCCACCTCCTCTGGCCGCAGGGGTGTACCTGGATCTGTGCTTCTGCGTCTCTCACCGAGACACTGAGGGAGCTGCCGGTGGAGCCTGAGCGGGGCCTCTTGTCCTGTCGCAGCAGCTCGGGGCCTGCGCTGAAGGAATGCCGCATTTGCCCTTGGTCCATCAAGTGCTGGGGACGCTGAAGCAGTGGGGAGTCCTGGCCCCTGGGACCCAGTGGCTCTCCTTTCTTCTCCACTTTGACCTCTTTGGGGAACGCGGCCAGGTTGTGCTGCTGTTTCCTCTTTTTGTATTCGGTCATCAACTTTGAAATGGTCTTGTCGGCCGCCATGGTGTAGATTTTGTTGCCTGCATTCTCCCACCACTCCTTCTTTCGGGTGGGATCCTTCTTCTCTACTTTGGGGCTGGGGGGCAGCAGCAGCAGGTCCCCACCAGCGGTCTTCAGGCTCAGGGACTCGCCCGTGTGCTCCCGGCACTGGCTTCTGTCGTCCTCGGAAGGGGTTTCTTTCCCAGAGAAGCCCCCCGTGGATGGGGTGGATGACTCGGACTGGAAGGAGGGCAGGATGAAGAATGGGTCGCCCTTGAAGATGGGAGGCTCCTCCAAACAGTTCTCCAGGTCCAAGTGCATCTGGATGTAGTTGTTGCACAGTTCCATGCACAGCTTGTGCAGCCTCTTGACTAGCCACACCCAGTCTGCGTTGCTGACAGGCTGGACGCTGAGCAAGGGCATCCGTGCCCGCCACTGTCTCTTCTCCTTGCCTCTCGGGGGGCTGACCTGGGCGGTTTCCTCAAAGATGTCTTCATCCTCAGATGAACACTGCTGGGAAGAATCTGTGCTTCTCTCGTCGTCCTCAAAAAGGACCTTCTTCACTTGCTCGGCCGTGATGGTTTCTTGATTGGTGAGAACAGCACACACCAGGGCGTGGAAATAAATGTTAAAGCTCATCGCAGACTGACGGTAGAGGTTGGCGGCGCCCCCGATGCCAGACACTTTCTTCAGCAGGCACTTCAGCCCGGGGCTGGTGTCAAACTCCCTGGCAGTCCTGTAAGAGTCCAGCAGCAGGTCGAATATGACTGCCAAGTTCTGCATGGAGATGTATCTGAGGAAGCCAGCCAGCTTGGCTTCTGGCACTTGGATCGTCTTTTCCTCTCCAGGAGAGGGGCCTTTGACAAACTCTTCTAACAAGATGTCATATAAGTTCTGGAGTAACACCTGATGGGACAGCAGGCTCACCACAATTTCCCTGAAAGACACGCTTCAAGTGAAAAGAGAGGGATCGATTAATGGTTTTCTGCCCTACATCAGGTATTTCAAAGCAATATAGACGTTACCCACTTCAGAATGATATATGCAAATTTACAAACTAAACTACCTCTACTCAAATGTCTTCCGTGAAAAAAGGCATACTTTTTGGGCATTACATGATAACCATTTTAATCACAACTAGTGGAATTCTTGACACTTTAAAAAATTCCCAAAGCTATAGAATATAAGTTATGATGCCAAATTAACAGTTAACATCAAGATATATTTGTGAAAAGATATCACAGTTGAAGGGGGCTAGGGGGTCTTTTTGCCCTTGGGAACACAGAATACATCTTGGGTTTTCCTATAACCCATCGCATGAGGTCAGGTGTGGAATTTTCCATTTGTGATGTCTCGCTGGCACTCAAAAAGTTGGGGTTAGGGATGCTCAACCTGTCCTATGTTTGCCAAATTTTTAAATTCACCAGTGTGGTTCAGTGTGGTTTTGGTTTCCAGTTTCATTTCTTTTCACTGCTCTTAGAATTTTATGAAAATAGTTGAGGCCATTATATGGCCAATTAATGCCCCAAACTGGATAATTATAAAATTATGACAACTGTTATTAATTTCAAAGGTCTAGCCATCATGTTAATAACCTTTTGCTTTATGTCTCACTATGACTTTGAATGTAAACATTTGTATAAGTAGGAAAAGTGCTTTTCTAACAGCAGAAAATGACAAATCCTGCATAAATCTCAATGTCAACTTTGCCCTTTGTCTAGTCCTCACTGAGGGAAAACACATTACTCTCAAAAACAGCAACCTTTTAAAATAAATCACGTTCACTTTTTTGTGGTAAAATAATACATAAAAGTTACTATTTTAATTTTTTGTGTATACAATTCAGTGATATTAAGTATATTCATAATGTTGTGTAACCATTACTGCTATCTATTGCTAAAACGTTTTCATCATTTCTAACGGAAACTTTGTACCCATTAAACAACTCTCCATTTCCCCAGCCTCAGCTCCTACTTAAGCTACCAGTAAACCCGAACACGCGTTCTTCTGAAAAAGAGGGCTCCAAAAGCTTATACCAACTTGGTCCAAAAGCTATCAGTTTATTCTAATGTTTTCTGTCCATACTATAAGGATGTGAACTAAAAAGGGAAATTTTTTAGTCATCAGACAAGTCTGTCCCCATGACACCTATAACATCCTCAAGGGACGGGACACTACCTTATTCATCTTCTTGTCCCCAGTAACCGGGAAAATGGTGAGAGTAGCATTCAGTAAGTCTCCAAGTCAAAGAAGGAAAGCAGGCTGACTCTGGGCACAGGCTGCCTGAAGGAAATGCTCCCCCTGAGAAATGGCTCTGACATTTGAACCCCACTCCCCTAGGATCCTGGATCCCTGACGCAGGAAGCACCACCAGAGGGGTGAGTTTAATCAGCCTGGTGAAGGCGTGGAACCCTTCGCTCACAACATTGTTTTTTATTACCTTCCCGAAGAAATGAAAAGCCATTTTCCAGCCAACACCTAAAGTGAGGCCAATGCAAAGCCATGTCTGAATTGTGGAATATCTTCATCCACCGAGATCATTTTTTGGATGCTTTAAGAGATACAGCTCCTAACTATGCATGTAAAAAAAGACAGCAAATCCGCTTTACCTTAGGTTTGGGTTAAAGGATGCAGTGACAAGAAAACAGAATGGGAAGGAAATAATACTGAAGAGATCAAGGTTTCACAAAGATAAGTGAAACAATTTTATAGGTATGCAGTTCTTAATCATCTATGCTGATAGGAGACAAAGATCTCAAACAAAATCAACAAATAACTTTCTAATTCAGCGTACCCAAGGGTTTCAAGCTTTTTCTCAGCACACCTTTAAGAAGTCTGCCATCCTCCAGATTGGATAATTGAGAATTATTTGCATAACAAGTGGTTGACTTAAAACATGCTAATATAT